TACACTGAGCAGATGTCTCTTTGGTTCAGACAAATCACAAGCAGCAAGACCTAGGATAAAGAAGTAGGCAAGGAGTGTTCCAAGCAGAAGGAACAGCTAGTACAAAGACTAACTACCTCGGGGGCAGAAAGAAGGCCAGTAAGGGCGCCAGGTGGGTTCGCAAAGATAAAAGCCAGACCATATGGAACTTGTCGGCCAGATCAGGAGAAAGACCACATTCCATGTACAACACCAAATCACTAAAGGGTAGCAGAAGAGTGACATAATTTGATTTCCATTTTGACAACACGAATCCCAGCTCAATGGATTATGAATAAGAGAAGCTTTGAAAAGTGGAGATATGCAGACCCAATACCAGGGGAAAATATGGGTGATGTAGCCTGTGGTAATAGAAGAAAAGAAACATACCCTCTGTCAGAAAGTCACCAAGAGAATAGAAAAGTGTAAATACTTAACACCGCATCCTCTACACAGGAGGCATTTATACACAAGTTACCCTCCCTGGCTAACATAAATGAATAAGAGTTTTAAGATAGAGCTATAAATCATACCCTAATTACTCTCTTTGATGTCCCACAAATTTCTGCAGAGAAGTCTATCATTTAGAGAGTAAACTGTAGTGCGCCAAATTCAAAACACAATAAAGAATTGACCTATTAAATGAGCTAGACTGTTAAGTTAAAACCGATTCTGTGTGCCAAGCTGAAACACAAAGGATCAGTCTTCTTGAACAATAAAGACCAGTTAAGAGGAGACTCCAGTTACACAATCCCCTCCCCTTCACCGTAAGTCACTTGGCTGGATTTTTTTTTTTAATAGAAAAGACAAACTCCTGAGTAAATGTAATAATTGTTTCAATGATGTTACCCCAACCACCCAAGAAGTTAAAAAAAGAAACTGGAAAATTGGGATTCTTCTATTACAAGATTAGTTAATTGTTGCCTCAAGTCTGGGCTTTAGCTGAAGTGAAGAGATGCTGCATTTGGAGAGCTAACAGCAACTGGAGAAGCAGAAAGATTGTCAAATATAACTGAAATAAGCAAGCAAATAAACGAATAAAACAAAGGCTTGCCAATGAAGCCAAGCGACTGAATTTGCTATCCCAAATAGGTCCTTCTTAGAGAAGGCTTTCCTTACAAATGTCCTCCACAGGAGTCCTATGGCAGTGTCAATACTCACACCAATAACTGATCTCTGACGCACTTGTCACTCACTATTTCCCTAACATCAACAAGGAAAACAGCAACCAAAACACAACCATACTGATTTCACTTAAACATTAATTATCACCATAGGCAACTGAAAAAGAAATGTCTGCCCCAAAAATTAAGCCCCTAGAATCGGATACTTGGCTAAATGCAATCCCAGAAGAGGAGAGAAACTGGTTCCCCAGGATTGCCTCAGGCCCCCCAAGACCCAGAACAAAGAAGATGCTAGCCTTCAAGAAATACCCACTAAATACCTATTACTCTACTTTGAATTTTTAACTATTTAAACTTTCCTAATTGTTTTAGTGTAGTGGTTTGGCAAAGTATCCAGATGATCAATACTATTTTCATAATCATACTACTATTCCTTTTTTCATAAGATCGATACTTCTATTAATCGTTTACCAAGAAGGTGCTAAACTTGCAGGGGACTTAGCACAAATCAAGGCACAGACACATTAACTAGTAGTATTCCTTCTGTATTTTTATTATTTAACTGACAAATAATAACTACATATATATTTATAGAGTACAATGTAATATATATTTTTATTGTTTTGTTCTATTTGTTTTCTTTTTGGTGTTAGGGATTGACCACTGTATTGCTGAGCTATTCTCTTGAGATTACACAAATTACACATTATTAATAACAATCAATGCATACTGTACAAAAGGTCCCAGAAATACAGCAATTCCTGTATTACTTCACAAGCATTCAAGTAAAAAAAGGGAAAAAAAAAATAAAAGTTTCCTTTTCATCAGCAAAGAATTAGGAAATAACTTTTTAAACATCTAACTTTAGCAATCACTTTACTATTCTCTGTGTCAAAATAGGAAATATACACAAGCACTTTTAATAAACAAGAAAATAAGATGGTTGTCACATCAAAGCAAAGCACATTTATTATTTTAGCTGTGGGCTGTGAGTCCCTCAAAACACCATTTTTACCTGGAAAAATGTCTGGCTGACATTCTTCTACTTAATCAGATGAACATGCAGCAGATATTTTCTTAAAATTAATAAAGTGAACCTTTTATTTTCAGTAGAAAAAAGATATATATTGATTGCCAATGATAAAAGTCAAGTTTTCAAGCAAAGATCAGAAATTTGCAAACTTTGTATTTGCCATCTTGAGTTTGGCAGCTTCACAACAACTCATAGACACTTCTCTGGCAGTTCCGTGGTGATATTAAGGAGCATGACTCTTGTTTTATATTGTATACCAAGGTGTGTCAACATTTGGAAGATTTGCATAATTGAATGATCCAATACAGTTTCAGAGTCCACCTTACAACTAACCCTTAAGAAACTATCAGTTGTCTAAGAAAAACTGTAGCAAATATATACAACAATACTATTTACTTTATAAAAAGAAGTAGTATTGGGCCAGGGAGATAGCTCAGTAGAATAAGCGCAAACACAAGGGCCTGAGTTCAGTCGCCGGTTCCGCGAAAAAAAAAGTAGTAGTATCACTTTTGACAACATGAATGAATCTAGGTAATATTATGGTAAGTAAAACAAGACAAGCACAGAAGGACTAATATTGCACGATCTCACTTAAACATGGAATGCAAGAGTTAAACTTACATACTAGAGAAAGGTGAGGCGGGACCAAGAAAGAGAAAATGTTAGTCAATGGGCACTAAAACTGAGTTAGACAGGAGGAAAAAGTTCTAGTAATCTATTGCACAGAATGTTGACTATAGTTAATATATATTTCAAAACTGTTGAAAGTAGATTTTAAATGTTTCAACCACCAAAAATTATTAATGAGTTGCTGATATGCTAATTAGTCCCATTTAATTGCTCCACAATGTATACATGTGTCATAACACCACACTGTACCCCATGAGTATATACAAATAATTTTTCAAAACTAACTTGTCAGGTTTCAGTATAGTATTGAAGAACACTCATTTTTGGTTGCAGCAGAATCAACTAAAATACTCTTTTTCAATTAGTATCTGTGAAAGACAAAACAACATACTACAATGCCTGAATGCAAAAGCACATGTAAGAATCAGCTTCTACTAAAGTAAGACATTAAAGAAATGTGCAAAAAAGAAAAACAATTTTGTTTGTACTGGAAAATACTTCTCATAAAAAAGTTAACATGTAATGGATTTCTTTTTGTTGTTATTCTTAGGTAAACAGGTCTTTATTTTGAATTCCTGTTTTAGTTCCTAATACACTAGTCATCAATAGTCAAAACCTCATATAAATAAAAGGCTTTGGGGTCTTGATTGAATGATTTTTAAGAGTATAAAAGGGTACTTAAGTCAGAAAGTTTGAGAACCTCTGGCCCAAAGCAAATATATAACAGCTACCTTCTCACACAACCTCTGTAAAAACAAAAATCAGAAAGACAACTGAATTTCTATAGACTTTAGTGTGTAATTTGCTTAAAGCCCATGGGCCTTGCTAATTTGCATGTCTGATTTATTCACAATCCTTTCTTCCTCCTCCTCTCTGGCCAGAAACCACAGACAAATTCCATTGCTATTTATCAACCGTCACTTAAGCAAACTGCAATGCAGTGGTATAGACATGGAGCTCATCCAGCCTGGCAAACAGGGATAAGGAGATCAACTCCATGGTTTTCCGCCCTGGGTCCTTTTCAAATACTAAATCCACAAAACACAGCATTAGTTTGCTCAAAGCAAATAGTTAATTTGTCCTTTCACTAGAAATCAAAAGGACAAAATCACACAGCTAGAGTATTGCTTCAGCCCCTACATTGACCCTCCACTATCCCCTTTTTCCTCAGCAAGTGGATGTCTAAGCCATGAAGAATCTACAAATCAATCAATTCATACCAAATATTTATACTGCCCACATGAAAAAAGAGGACACACAGTCATAAAAAGAAAACAAAAAATACAGGTAATGAAATGAAAATGTCTTTGTAAATAGTGCAACAAAAAGTATGAACAAAGGACAAAAGTACCAAAGTGATAAAGGTATAAATAAACGAGAAGAAGAAAAAGTAAAAACAGGTAATAAGGTTTGCAAAAGTAAAAAGCAATTAAAGTTAGTGATCACAAGTCAGTGATTATACCTTTTGGCTTAAAATTCATTTAGCAGGGGGAAAATGGAAGGTAAGCGTAGAACGATAGATTGTACTGTGATCTGGAAGGTTCCGAAAGTCAAGCTAAGAAGTCTGGATTGTACCCTGAACATAATAAGGAGCTACAAAAGGCTTTTGAGGAAAGAACACAATGTGAGTATATTTTTAATTTGTTGTCCTGTTTTTTTAAACACTAATCTATTTATGATATAGTTGTGTTAAAAGAAACCAAGACTGGTGGTCTGATGGCCAGAAAAGAAAACCATAGAAAATCCCAGGCAGCGATGAACTGGACCTCAACAAAGAGATGGAAATGGATTTGAAATAGAATCAAAAGTTACAGGGTGGTAAATAAATCTGAAATCTAAGTTATTAACAACCCATCTACAAAAAGCCTACTAAGCTAATAACTGTACAAAACAGTAAATAAAATGCATGACATACTGATTTGGGATGCAAAAATATGGGTTTGGTTTTCTTCTGTTTTGCTTTGCTTCACACTGAGCTACAAGGTCTTTTTAACTTGAGAAGATCTCACAAAGTTCTTAAGTAGCCCAAGCTAGGCTTCACTTGCAATCTTCCTGCCTCAGCCTGCCAGCATACTGGATTACAGACCTACACCACCACATGTGGCTTAAAGATGTGATTTTCAACACACGAGAGGGAAGGTAGATGTGATGGACTTGCGTTAGGCACTCTTAAAATTTCCTATTATTGTGCATACCTGCACTGCACAGAATGGAAAGATAAGAAGTACATTTCCCAGGCTCCTCTGCATCAAGGGTTCTGGATAAGGATTCAGCTCCACTGATTAAAGCACCCTGTGTAAGATTTAGAAGGTAAGAAATCAAACGGAGGCCGTCATCCTGTTGTTCTGACTTTTTCTGCAGACAAGACAGTCATGGGAAACAGTGGGTTTCGACAACGTTCCAGGACCTGGTAGTAACTTTGAGGTTATCTAATACCAGCTCTCACGGTGGCACTGTTCTGATCCCCAGGTACAGCTACAGTGCTGTGTTCCTATAAATCAACAGTTCTAACAATGGCTGCCTGATTCCTCTCCTAGCAAGCCAATCTGCGATGCTGACTTAGAAGCCCACCTTCAGAGGCGCAGTCTCTGGTCTTCCAGCAGACTTTACAGGAATCTATTTCCCTAGCTAACACAGTTCTGTTTCCTGTAGCTAAATTCAAACATACACAATGGGCTTTAGGTAGAGACAAAGCCTGCCAAATGAAAACATTTGATACATATTTGAAAGAAAAGAACCAGAATTTAGAAACGAAGACAGGCCACAGCAACTAGAGCCTACCTGCACACATCCAGCGGTCTGAGATTCCAGCCTCTATTAATTCATTCTCTGAAATCTCTACAATTCCTCTTGGAACAGAGAAAAACATATCCTACTACTCATCTTATGTGATTATAATAATATCTCACATTTATCTAGTACTGTGCCTACAAACATAAGCAAAGGTATTTGGAAATGATCAGATCTCATTTTTATCTGGCATAGCAGACCAAAAGGGTCAGTATTTATCATCTCAGTTTTAAAGAGAATTAGAGCTACTGAAAAGGTCGGCAGTTTGTCTAAGGTCACGGAGGAGAAGTTGGTAGTCCTACTAAAGCATTTCCTGCTTTCAATTTATTTTCTCTTGTTTAGTCTTCTGACAGTTATGTGACCATATTCTAAAGTAAATGTTAAAACTGTTGGTGCAGAAATATTAGGAGCCTAAGAGGGTTTGTAAAATCACAAAGAATTAAATGGGGCCTACCTAACGACCATGGAAAAAGTTAAAATTCTCAGGGTAATTTTCTTCTCTATTCTTACCTAAAACATAGTGTTTGTGGCAGGCCTACCATTCCGGTCACATACTTCCAAACACATACAGTCAGTCCTGAGTAGCAAGTGTCATTCAATTATTCAGGCAGCTATTCCTTTATTTTTCTATCAAGTTGGAAAATTAACAGTGTTATATTTGTAAACCTTCACTAGGCCCTTACATAAAAGCTCAAAAATGTTTATATGATATATAACTCCCGTTTGAAGACACTCTGAGGCGAGTTAATATAAACCTATCGTGAATAAATGTTCAGAAAGCAGCTCTGTTAGACAGAGGTTAAACTGTGACCTTCCCAATATTTTCCATAGAATGTACAATCCATCACGTACAAAAACACAGTGAAGATGTGAGGTGTTGGTAAGTACCCCTGTTAGTGAGAAATTCTGCTAATTATTACACCAAATAAGCATAGTTAACAGGCCATGGCCACAAGAGGGGCATGTTTCAGGGCATTAAATAGCTGCATAGAGGAGAGAGGAATATATTACACTATGCCCTTTACCAATAAAACAATTTCCCTGACACCTAGAAATCCAGTCAGCTGGAGCAAGATAAAAAGTGTTCTGAGGTTGGCTGTGTGAAGAATGATGCTTCAGTGCCACCTAGTGACTTGCGTGTTTTAAAGTGCGGTGCTCAGGGTAACGGTGAGGATCTTCAAGCTAAGCTTAGTGGCAGGAAAGGGGACGGGGCCAGAAGAAATCCCCCTTGAGGGGCTGGGGTACAGCTTGACGGTGGAGGGCATGTTCAGCAAGCATAAGGCCCTGGCTTGGTCCTCAGCACCAGCCAGAACAGACAACACATTCTGAGAACTCTTCTAATTACATAAGTGCTCTTCAAAGCACACACAGTATCTTTTCTTTCCTTTTTTACTAGCCTTCCTAAGTAGATGTCTCTCAACCTAAATTTCAAAATGAAAACAAGAGCCCAAAGAAAATCAGCCATTTTCCAGATATATCCTTTATTTACCCTAGAATTTCCTTAACTTTCAAAATTACGAAGAAAAAAGCAGCACAGGGATGCTGAGTTAAGACTGAACAGCACTGAAGTTTTTGAAGCTGCAAGACAAATATAAAAAGAAGCAAACTCCGCATAATAAAAATGCAAATGGCTTTAAAAGTAGGAAAATTCACCAATCTATATGGCAAAAGCTATCTGACATAAAAAAATTATGAAACCTCAAAAGAATTACTTTTCCCACAGGGAGTGTTTCCAAGTTGCTCGTTTCTAATGCAGCATTGGATGGATACACTGAACACTGTGAATATATAGTTGATCTTCAGAAAACAGCACCTATGCCAAGAAAATCGTGTCTCCTCACACTAGTGATTCAATGAAAAGAGTTCTGGTCTACATGACTTGTAATAAAGTAAAGTCACAGCCTCATGCAACTTAAGACTTTAAAGGAGGAAAACAGTCAAAAAAAAAAAAAAAAGAACAAGAAAAGAGGTAATGTATCAGATGATGACAAATGACACAGAGAAAAATAAATCAGGGAAACAGGGACAGAGAATGCCAGCAGTCAAGGACACAGTAAATGCTATTTCAGCAGTAACTCAGAGACAGTCTCCCAAGAACACGATGTTTAAATAAGAGACCAAAGAAGGCCATGGAACAAGCCATGTAGCTGTGAAGGAAGAAAGTTCAAACAGGAGAGAAGAGGAAGTAAAAGAAGTGAGGCAGGAAGTACTTGATCTGTTTGAGGAACACAATGGAACCCAGTCTGGGTGGCTTAGGAAGAAAGAAAAGAATGAGAGAACAGGTGAGGGATGGTGTGACAGATCAGAGAGAAAGCCAGGGGCTTGTGTCATTTTTTAAAATTCACATACCATGGGATTTACTCTTTTAAGGTGTACAGGTCAAAAAATATAGTCACTGAGCCACTGAATCAACACCATTACTTAATTTCCAAATATATTCATTATTCCAAAAAGAAATTCTAGCCAAGTGTGATGGTGCTCGCCTCTAATCCCAGCAGTTGGGAGGCTGAGGAGGAGGACTGCAGTGAGTTTGAGGCCAGCCTGGGGTGTACAGTAAGTTCAGAACTGCATAGCAAAAACGGCAGCCAGAAATGCATAGCAAAATCCTGTCTCAGAAAGAAAAAAAGAAGGCTGAGGAGATAACTCAGCAAACAAAGTGCTTGCCTGACAAGTGCAAGGACCCAGGCTCGATCCCTGTTACTGCATGCCATGCCAGCCCTAAGCCAAGGAGACTACCAGAACTGGGTGTGGTGGCACATGCCTGAAATCCCAGCACTGGGGAGGCTGAGACAGGAGAATCACTACAAGTCCGAGCTGGGTAGCAAGACCCTGAACAAAACAAATAAATAATAATAATAAAAGAAAAGAGCAGAGAGAAGAAAGCTCTGCACTTATTACAACCTCTCCCATTCTTTTCTCCGCAGCTCCTGGTAACCACTATTCTTTTTCCTATCTCCTTGGGCTTGCCTACTCTGCATATGGAATCATATAATTTATGGTATTTTGGCACTGGCTTCATTTACTTATCATATGGTTGCAGCAATACTGACAAATAATACTCCATTGTATGGACATACCACATTTTTATTACCCAGTCACCACTTAATGAACACTGTTTTTCCTGCTTGCTAGCTATTATGAAATTAGGCTACTGTGCACATTAGTGGGCATGTTGTATGTGAATGTATGTTTTCATTTTTCTTGGTTAAGTAGGAATGGAAACGCGGGACTGTGTGGTATCTTTGTTTAACATTTGACAGAAACATTTGAAGCAGAGGAGAGATGTGATCAGACTTGTTTTTTTTTTAACTTTGGTTGTTCTATAAAGACAGGCAAAAAAAAAAAAAAAAAAAAACCAGGGAGCCTACTCAGAAAAAAGCTAGTAACCTAGTGAAGGATGCTAAAATATATTTTGAAAACAGAGCCAACAGAATTGGCTGATGGGTAAGATGGAGAATAGGAAAGAAAGAGCCAGGGACGTTGCTAGGACTTTTGGCCCGAGCATAGATGAAACTGCTGCATATTGAGGCAAACAGGACGACAACAGAAGGAACAATCAATATTTATTCTTTCTTTACTCATTTCTGCCTCTTGAAGTGCCCCATACTCCACTTTCAGAGACCTATGCAATGCTGATCATGATCAGCAGCTGCCATATTTCTTATTGGTCAAATTCTTTCAAAAAAGATGCCCAGCTGGGCTTGTTGATACATACCTATAATCCCAGCACTTTGGGAAGCTGAGGTTGGAGGATCACAAGTCCAAGCCTCACCTGGATAACTTAGCAAAACCCTATCCCAAAATTTAAAAAAAAAAAAAATTAATAAGGTGAGGATGTAGTTTAGTATAAGGCCCTAAGTTCAATCTTCAGTACCACAGGGGGGAAAAAAAGGCATCTCATAGCCCCAACTTGCAGCAAAGTCCCTTTAGAGCCATGCAAGACAGTTTACTCTTGTAATCAACAAACTGAATTCCAACCAGCAGGACTACTGGTAAAACTACAAATGAGCAAAAAATAAAAGGATGAAAAGCTACTGCGTCTTTGGGACCCTTTACAAGGTCCATCATAAGAAATGGTTTCATCCCCCTAACACTGACAGTAGCACTTCATTTTTAAGGAACAGGAGAATTTAGGGAAAAAAAAAAAAAAACCGAGGGTGCGGGAAGCTGGGAATGACTGAGAAAAATGCAGAAAGCCTAGCCCTGAAATGTAATTGAAAAGATAGAACGCTTTTCTTCTCTGGCACTGGCTCCTACCAAAACAAGCACTTCTGTTATTAAATGCAATACAATTCATGTTCTTGGATTTCATAGCAACAAATATTTTATTAGCAACTAAAAAGAAAAACAAGAGCCGAAGAGGGAAAATATCTGAGCTTAAAGTACAAGAAGTGTTTAGTTACCTTGATCACACATCTCTTCAAAGCAACCAAACTATGTTTGCATATACCAAGAGTCAACAACAGATATGTTAAGACCTTTGTAGGTAAGCCACAGTCCTG